CCCATATTCTTTTTAGGAGATCAGGGGGGCGTGCCCCCTGAAACCCCCCATATTGTTAAATTTACTATTTTCAAACATCAAACTCAATAACTATTGATTTGGGGCAAAAATGAAGGCCATATTCGTGTTCAGCATGCAAAATATACTACTAGAAAAGAAATAGATCTAGATCTATATAAAACGTGAACATGAGACGGGTGCAAGTAAAAACAAACGTAAAATATATTCAATCACAAAGTGGTTAAAATTGTCAAAGTGAAAGAGGAAGTAGAATCTACTACTTGTAATACTTTTGAGTATAAAAAAATCTTCGGATTCGTAAAAGATTGCATTAGCAATGATGCCTCATGCACCCTACGGTCTGACTGGGCCGAGCAAGTCACTGGACGCTCCCATCGTCTACTTAGGGTCAGAGTTTTAAAAGCTAGAAAAACTAAATAAAATTTTTAAATGATTAGAGTGGTGTGATAGGAATAGGCATTTTATAGCTGCAATGTACTGATGTGCATGACTGTGAAGAGATGTTATATTCATGTAGTATCGAATGCATGCTCTCTTGAGTTTTTTGTTCTAATATGTCTCAATTGCAGTTTTTCAACATTTGACATTTAAAATTGTATTTTTTCCATTATTCCTACTCTAGAGGAGGTGGCACTTAGCCTGTAGTCTCTCGATTAGAATGTTGTAAAAGGTCTAACAACGCAAATTACTTTTTGTAAGGCACCTAGAGAGCTTAAATGTAGGGATGTGCGCATAATATAACTGGAATCTTTTATTATAATTATAAAAATTTGTGAAATGTAACCCGTGCAGCCAATCTCTGGTCGGAATAGTATCTTGCAGAGTATCATTAACAACAGTTGAAGTGCAGCTACCTTTTCTGATTTCAACTGTTGTGCTATTTTTTTATATAGTAGTGCATTACAATCGAGTGGCAGCAGCTTGAAGCAGTGGCAATGTACAGTCAATTTATCTCATTATGACAGAAGCAGTTAATGGGTACAACAACTGTAATTTATGCAGTGCAAAAGAAGCAGTGGTTTTTTAAACTTAATCTAGGGTAAGTATAAAAGCGATGCTCATTAAAACAAACACCCGCCACGGCTGGTTCGGGCCAATCGCCCATCCGTAGTGGGCACCCCGTGTTTGTCAAATTATGGACCTGCTCTCCATGATCAGATCGGGTTGGGTTGGGAGATGGCTCTAGCCAGTGAACATTGGTCTATCAAATCGACTTCTTCTTTGTTTCACAAGTTTGACCCGTAAGTCCATTTATGTCGTGAGGCCGTGGAATCAGGTAGGTGCATCATGTGAATTTTTTGGCATGTGTGGACTTATTGGTATCATTTTAAGCTTCTTGTTCATTTGTCTTTCTTTTGATTAAAAAGATAAGTTCTACTCTCTTATAATAAAAAAGTCCAGATACAGTAGTCTCCGCCTAAGATCCGGGTCCTCGGGAGCAAGCAAATGCGGGATCTTAGGCGAACTGGAATCTTAACCGACGAACCCAGGGAAGAATATATGGTGACCCATGCTAAGGCTCACAATAGGTACAATGGTCTACCTCCACTCTAAAATGAACTAACATGACCGCTTGGTGGGTTTATGACGTATATGGCTTGCAAAGAGTGGTTAACCTTGGTGAACTATCACAGTGCATAGTGGGATGAGGTGTGCCATTTTCACTTTTTATCCAATCATGAGTCTCAAGATCTATGCGTATCCAGTTGCCCCTCCCCCTTACCTGTCGAAAATTCATAGCTTTCCATCTCTGACCGAGTCCCCCCCCCCCCCCCCAAAACTGCCTTTGTTGTGAACACACCAATTAAAATTCAGTCTGTCCCGCAAATTCGGGAGTAAAGACAACTTCTGCAATGGTCAGGGAAGTTTTCACAGTTCAATGTGATCCCGCCTGGAGCGAACGTGTAGGCCTTGCCCACCCAGCGAGTGATGTAAGTTTAGGGGGAGAGCTCAGGTGTGAGTGTGATGCTTCGGGGAAAACAAACGTGTCGGTCAGTTCACACCCCGGTGTGATCCAGTCTGGGGCAAACATTGTATCGCTTCTTCGAGTTTTACAACATGTATGTGATCACATTCACGATAGTGGCTGATCTTTGACGCGACGGACAGTTTATTGATCTCAACTTTTCACTCTTGGTTGATCGGCTGTGCCCACCCGGATTTTTGTTCTGCAAATTATGATCTGAAATGCGGGATCTTAGCCGAATGTAGACCTTCATAGTGAATCAGAGCGGGATCTTAGGGGTGTCTTTTGTATAGTAAAAATTCTGTTTGCTTAAAACAGCGGGATCTTAAGCGAACCGGGATCGTAAGCGGTGGGATCTTAGGCGGAGACTACTGTAGTGTGTTTGAAGGAGGTGGGGGTGGCTTGGTTTCAGAGAAAATTAGTGAGAAAATGACCACCAAAGTTTGGTGACTTCCATCCATAGCAGCATAGCATGAGAATGTTTGATTTTTTAAAGTATCTGATTGTGCCAAAAAGGTAGGTTTGCCCCTCCGTTAAGAAAAGTGGGGCCAGTGTGAAATGGATCAAACTTTGTCGAATGAGGATTTCACCCCGCAGGAAAGTTTGCCATATATATATTATATATATGTTATAAACTATATATTTATTTAATGTTTTTATATTTTCTTTTTGAATTGGGTTTGCTTTTATTTCATATTCTTTTATTTTTCAGGTATTGTAGAAGCTAAAGCCAAAGGTGCTCGCTTTCGTACTGGCCAGGAGCTTGAAGTCAGGTGAGTGATTAAATGCTGCAGATTTTGTTTTGGGTCTTTTGAATTTTGAGCAAATTAAAGCAACTTTTTGCACATTGTGCGAGACTCTTTCTGTCACTGACACACTTTTCAATACTTGGGAGCATCTTGCCATGCAGATTGGGGTTTGTTTCTTCAAATGGGAACAGGAAATGCATAATTTGAGCAATGTACGTGCTTCAGAGGCATGAAGTTTTTTTTTTAATACCAAAACCTGAAGGGAGGGGCATCTTTGTCTACAGGTGAAGATGTCAGGCTTTAAATGCGTTCGATTCCCAGGATTACAGGGGAGGACATTGTATTGTGAGGATCATTATTCTATCACATTTTCCTCAATTTGTACAGTTTGGATGGAAAGAGATCTTTTTTTTTGTGAATGACGGGAGTAGATGGCTAAATAACAACAATACTGTCTGTTTCTTAGATGATTATGGTGCTTTAGAATGGATTAGATGGGTTTCTAAGGTAGACACTATGAAAGTTTTCTTCAGATGGGTACTTGATTAGAACACATCACATTTACTTTCATTTTGGTGTGTCATTTGCTTTTCACTTTGAATGTGTCCTGGATTATTGGAGGGTGCCACCGGTCCTCCTCTTCCGTTTGTTATCTCTATCTTTCTGCTTTCTCATTTTTTACCCAGCAGCATTTATTGTGTGACTGTTTTTTCTTTTTTCACTTTTTTACTGTGTATTTTGACTGCATTCTTTACTTAATGTTAGTATGAGAAGTAGGCCTATTATTCGGTAATGGCTTCTGAAAGTGATAAAGCCTTCTTCTTAAGCTGGACTAGAATATGGAATCTTTGTCTAACATCTAAAGGTAGCAAGTCAGTTACTATTTGGACACATTCGTGCGCTGTTCATGCTATGCTATCATAACAAAATGTGGCAATTTAAGTTTCGAGTCACCGTAAAACTAAACCCCACACAGATTGTTTTCTTATTTTGATTCTGATCCATGTTTTTTATTTCCCAGTGGGTACAGTTGCAGTGACCATTTCTTTGAGAGTGACACGTACTTACACTCATGGGAGGTGCTTGGTCGCATCATCTCGCACCCGAGTTGCCAGGACATTCTCTGCGATGTTGGCATGTAAGTTATATTATCTGTAGAGATTTTATTTTCCGTTGCATTTTCTAAATATTTTGAAATATGGTCACAGAACATGTTTCATTTTCTTTAAGGATCTATAACATTCCTAAATAATCTTCCTTTCTTTGTGTTTTCTGTGTGAGCCCTGTCTTCTCATATGTAAATGTGAAATGAATAATGTGGTAACTTGAATCTTTGGACGCTTCGTAGGTGGATGGCGGGTGTTCTGGTTGGTTTTCTCCTTCTTTCCTATCATCTATTGTCCTTATCTCTCCTCCTTCTTTTTTGTATTTGTTACTCCCTTGTAACACCTCTAATCTTTTGCACTTATATGACCTTATTGTGTTGCAAGTGCCGTAATACTCTTACACAAACGGAAACGATTTTCGGACACTTATTTGTTAGTCCTTCCTTTCCTGTTCCTGTGAGACATAGCTTAAGATAAGATAAGACTTTTCTATCCCAGAGGGAAATTTTTCTTGGCTGTACAGGACTGTAAAAACACATGCAGGTATTCATAAAAGTTTAAATTACATATTATTCTCTTTAAATTCGACCCCATTCATTAGCTTCAACTCCATTGTGACCCCAATAGTGACCCCGAATGTTATGCACTAGGTCAAGGGCGGCGTTATTTTTTATTTTTACCCCAACCGTGACAACAGCCATTGTTCTAATTTGTCTCACTACTCTCATAGATGCCTTTTCTTGCTATCAATTTATTGAAAGCATTTATATAGCGGGACCGTGAATGGGACAATGAAGATAATTATGCACTCCTTTGTTTCATCTCCTTTATGTGTTTTTCCACAGGCCCATAATGCACAAGAATGTGGCCTACAACTGCAGGGTGTTTTTCGTGAACAAGTACGGATATGTGTAAATTTGTGCTGTCCTTGCAGAATGTCTCCTTAGTATATATAGATATTATACTATGTTCAGGTGTTAAATATTATTTGTTAGAAAAGTAACATAAATTTTTTAAAACAGATTTTGGAATGCTGTTGACATTTGAATAGGTTTTAGTTTGTGTTGCTGTTGTTATAATACTTGACATGAACACTTTTCATTTGTTAACGTAAATCTATTTCTAAATGTACTTTGTTCCCCCTTGAGGTTTGTAATTTGACATATTTTTGCCGATGTGATATTGATTTTATTGATTTTTTGGTCCAATAATTTTATATTCGATCAAACTGTTGATAAATAAATCCAAGTTTATTGATACTTTGACATGCACATCAGTTCACAATTGATATAAGTTATATTTTCTGCTTCTTTACTTTCCCTCTGTTGTTCTGCCTGTGTGTCTGACACGTTCCCTGCACTAAGTGACTGTCATTGTGTTGATATATTCTTCACTTTACTCAACAAGCAAACATAATATTCTTTCATTGTAGAAAAATCTTGTTGATCCGACCCAAGATCATGTTGTGCAACGAAGGCAACTACCGAGAGCCTCGGTGGTTCACTGGCTGGACCAAATTGAAGGAGGTAGAGGACCACTACCTGCCTCGCATGATCCAGGAACACACAGGACAGGTAATGCTGTTGGTCTCAGAGACCTGACAAGTTCTCCTATAAAATGGGAGCCCTCCGATTTTTTTTTTTCGCCCATGAAAGAACCTTAAACGGATTTGCATAAAATCCCATTTTTTTGTCTTACACCAATTATTGTAAATGACATGAAAATGCACAGGTTTATTTGCAATACTTGCATGACCCATCATAAAGGACATGAAAATATACTTTTTTGGGGGGGATGCATGGAGATTTCAATTTCTTGCATGGGGATTTCAATTTCTTTCCCCTCAACTCTGATTTGTAGGGAGGATTCGGAGAAAAACTTCTGAAAGGCACTAACTTTTACATTCTGAATCCTGGATAAATCATTCTCATTGAACAGCATAATTGAATAGCCTCAAACTCAACCTTACTGGTAATCTTTTTTAAAAATTCTTTTTTTTTTTTTTTTGGAAACAGAGGACTGTACCTTTTGGTGATGCTGTTATTTCTACTTACGACACATGCATTGGTGCTGAAATCTGTGAAGAACTCTGGAATCCCAAGTCTCGTCATATAGAGATGGCGCTGGATGGAGTGGAGATCATCGCAAACGGGAGCGCGTCATACCATGAGCTGCGGAAAATGTACATCAGGGTTGATCTAGTCAGGGCCGCCTCCATGAAGGTATTGCATGCGCATGGACAGAGGCCTGTTACATTATCATTGTTATATTGCTATGTTTTCCTTTAATATGCTTGCTAACTGTAGTAGCTAGCAAGATCTAAACCTTTTCTTCCTCCTTGGGTGTTAAAGGTCATGATCAGTTCATGATGAGAAAACTATCATTAGTATTAGTATTATTATTATTATTATTATTTTTATTATTATTATTATTATTATTAGACAGAGGGCACTGGTTACTTTGGCTGCTTTGTTTTTTGCTTTTTGCAGACAGTAGTGGTACAATAACGGTTTTAGAAGGCTGTGTGTGGGCAACCTTCTGTATGGATGTGAATGCTTGACAATAGCCATAAATAGTGTAAATAAATAACCTAGAGGGAACAGAAATGTGGTTTCTTTGGAGATTGTTAAGAATTTCATGGAAGGAAAAGAAATCTTATGAAGTTGTGCGGAAAGAAACGGGCGTAGGACAGTCACTGATGAAGACCTGTTGGAAGATACAAGTGCTATAATTATGACACTTGAATTGATGCAAAGGTCTTGAACATCTTTCTCTCACCAGAAAAATAGAAGGCAATAGCGATAGAGGCAGGGGTAGACTAAGAATAAATCACTAAGAGAACTTGACCACATGGGGGATCCAGAAAAACTAGGATTAAATAGCTTCTTTTTTTTTTAAAGAGCGTCCAAGCAGAGAAATAAGTGTGTAACCAAGATGACTGATGTCTGTTTCAGGTAGTTTTTTTTATTCCTTTCCTTTTTTCGTCTTTCCCCACAGTCTGGAGGTGTGTACATATTCTGTAACGGCGTTGGTTGTGACGGAGAGAGGTGCTACTGGGACGGAGGATCCATGATTGCCGTCAATGGAAACATCGTGTCTCGAGGGCCCCAGTTCTCTATGGATGATGTGGTATGGAGCTTACTGTTGAGCATTGTTTCACGTTGTTGTTTTTTCCTTAAAGAAAAGAACATTAACCCTAACTTATATCAGTGTTTATAGTGGAATGGAAAAGCTCTTTGATGATGAAGGTAATTCAATATGGATGATGTGGTATGGAGTTTACTGCTGAGCATTGGTTTAAAACGAAAAAAAGAAACAACTCTGCCCTAGTCTGTCTATGGTGTAATGGTTAGTCTCTTCGCTGATGAATGCAGTTCTGGATGGAGGATGTTGTATGGGGCTTACCGCTGGACATTGCTTTTTCCTTGTTAAAAAGAAAAAAGAACAACATTCCTAACCCAGATCAACGTCTATAAGTCTAACAACTCGGCAAGCACATGTGGTCTTTATCACAGACTCTCAGAGCATTCTGAGGAAGATTGAAAATAGGAACCTTAGAGCTGAATGGACAGAGCTCCTGAAGAAGACAACACTGAAAAAGATCACATGGATCTTCATCCCGGGCCATGCTGGAGTCAAGGGCAATGAGCGGGCTGATGAGCTCGCTGGGAAAGCAAAACCAGAAGGGAAGCTGTGCCCTGACAAACCTGAAATTGTACGTTCCGTCAAGGAAAAAAGAAAAAAAGACAAGAAGAGGCCGAATACCATCATCTTGAGGGACCATGAGCTTGAAATTGGATGGGGCGCCTGCAGAAGTTCAAGACTTAGTGGGAGGAGCAAAAGGCTATGGAATCAACCATTGCTTGGAACCGTAGCATCTACACACTTCGAGATGTGCTTCTTCAGGGGAGGGAGCGCTTATGGGGATGCCCCTTGTGCAGTGATGTCGGTCCTTCACACAAGTAATAAGTAACGTCTATAGTGTAATGGTTAGGTACTTTGCCAATGAATTGAGCTCTCTATAGATGATGTGGTGTATGTTGCTTACCGCTGAATGTTTTGGGTTTTTTTGTTTAACAAAAAACAAAACAGAGCAGCCCTGCCCTGGCCCAGTGTCAATAGTGTAATGGACAGGCTCTTGGCCAAAGACATTAATTGGTCGCTTTTTTAGCACAAGGTGGCTATCACGAAAAATGTTGTTTTGAGAAAATCGAAGGAAAAGTTTTTGGACCCTTCTCCAGTTTCTTTAAAATACAAGGAGAGTTTACTCTATAACCAAACAAATATACACACCAATTAAACCAAACTTCTCCTATAGGTAGGGCAATGGTCACTTTTGGTGTAGATTAAGATGTCTAGAAACCCCCGAAATCTGGGTTAGCCCGCTTCTCCTTAAAAGCGACCTATTGTGGATGAATGATGTTTTGTAGGGCTTACTTCTGAATGTTTGTTTTTCTTTTTTGAGGTCAGGTGCACAGTTAGTCGTCTCGGTGTGATTATTTATGTTCTGTACTTGTGTTATTGGTTTTAGTATTCTTTTGTGAAGAAGCATTCAGTTGGTGGTTTGAGGGTGCCACTGGTAGGTCCTGTGTCTTTTCTCTCCCAATGTTGTTTCTGTGTTTGTCTCTCTGATTTTTTTATCTAGCACCAAATGACCATTATTATGTTGATGTATTTCTATTTACTCAAACAAGAAGCGAATAGAAGAACATGTGGATGGTGGGCGCCACTGATAGATCCTATTTCTTTTCTTTCCTTCCCTTGTTTCTATCTATATGTCTTGCATCTTACTATATGACCGGTGTTGTATCGATGAGCTTCTATTTACAATGACAATTTGACAATGACAATGACAATCTTTATTCATCTCGCAGGGAGAAATTTGTCTTGGTCGTTAACAGTGGCCGTAGACGTTACAAAAGTTAGAGCTAAAGGTGCACTCACGCAAACACACAACAAGACAGGACATTAGTAAATACATGTCTCACGTGCTGGGACAACCGGCTTCGTAAAACATTCTACTCTCTCTCTC